GAAGAAGAAGAAGAAGAAGAAGAAGAAGAAGAAGAAGAAGAAGAAGAAGAAGAAGAAGAAGAAGAAGAAGAAGAAGAAGAAGACTTGTAAAAAGTACAACTCAGTAAGTATTTGTTGTGCAAATATGCTTTACCTATCATCATTACTAAATCAGTTAACAAACTAAAACAAATTATAATACCAGGCAATTTAAAATAAATCCTTCAGCAATCAGGTCTTTATAAAACAAAGAAAGCAAGTTTGACTCAGTGCGTTCTGTGTTTGTATCATATCCCAAGTTCAGGACGGCGTGAAGAACACAGCGTACTTTACCCGTGAATTCGTCAGCGATACAATCAGATAGTACAGTGCAGCAACCAGAAAATAACCCTAATAAAGTATAACTATGAAAGTGCAGTTAGTTACTGCTCGAGCAGAGAAACCATACATGATTGGGGTGTAAACAGACAAAGATCATGCATTTACGAAGGTAAGCTTGAGGTCTTTTTACATTTATTTCTATGAATATATGATAATATAATTGTTAATTCCTATAAGATGCAAATTACTGATATTTACCAATAGTTTTGTGACTTTTATATTTTATAACTTTTTAAACAAAGCCAGGCATGCATTGGATACCTATAATCCTAGCACTCAATAGGGTGAGGCAGGAAGATTACTGTGAGTTCAAGGCCGACTCAGGCTCTATATTGAGTTCAAGGCCTGTCTGCACTACTTGGCAAGATCTTGTCTCAAAAAAAAAAAAAAGAAAAATTACTGGAAATAGTATAAAATCAGTGGAACAGTTATGACTATTTTCTATATACAGTTATGACCATTGGCTTCTTTATAAAACTATGGATGACTGACTGTGTTTATATTATGATTTCTTTCTTAGGGCTAAAAGCATTTATAACTCATAGGGGCACAACCCTTCACTAAGAAGCTTACTTCCTGAAAGTTTACTAGCTTTTTATGTGCTTAGGTCCTGTTGAACTAATTAGTAATTCATTTCTACTGTTTAAATCTTATCTTTGTAAGCATGTCAGGATAGGGTAATATGCAGCATAATAAATGAGACTGAGTCACAAATATCTCTATATGTCAAAATGAAATTATAGAGGCCAGGGAGATGGCTCAGTGGAATAAGCGCTTCCCTGGCAAGTGCAAGGGAAGTTCAATCCCTGGTTCTGCCAAAAAAATAAATTAATTAATAATAATAATAATTTATGAACATAGTGGATCTTAGGGTAAATTAGGATAGTGAATTTTCATCTAAAGGAAAACTATGTTTTGCTCGACACAATTTTAATGTCAACTGGTTTTCAAAATATTGCATGTAATTTTTAACTATTAATCCATATATGGTGGAAGCGGAAACTTGCTTATATCTGATGAAAAAGAAAAGTTTTTTCTGTCACATTGCTGCCTAACAAAAACTGCTGCACTGTGTTGTAAATGTATTGTTCTGTTTTTCTTGAGAAAAACTAGCATGGAATACTTGCAAGGTTTTCGTCCATTACAATCAAACTGTGGCAGGGTAGGAATAAAAGCGAATATCCTAAAAGACCATGCAAATTCCACTTTTATTTTCCCTTTTTACTCCAATTCTAATGTTTCCATTTGCTCCATATCTAAGCCCACAATGAAGTAAGTAAGTTACAAATTCAATGACAATATCTGAAAAACTGAAACTTGGGTGGAGTGAAAGAGTAGACAGGGACATTCTGAGAACTTCACTTTCTTCAGAAACCATTAGGGATGTAAGGAGTGCTGCACATTAACCAATGAAAAATGCACACAGTCATGCTATATTTTCTAGGAGCTTACCATAGAAGAATTAAATTGTAAATAAGATGACAAATTCGGAAAGGACTAAAAAGATACAAGGAAATTATCGGTGAAGAGTAAGCTTTCACTAAATTCAACCAAAGTCTCTTTCTGCAGCATCATCCTTTTTCAAAGCTATGGCAAAAAAATTACACTTTTTTCCAGAAACAGCAGTGCTGTTTGCATTTTTTTACACGTCGGCAGAAGTCAGTATTATAGTTGGCTTCAGGGTGAATTTGAAGAAGAGTAATTGCTGCTGCAGTTATTCATTTAGACTTCTAATGTCTCCTTCTCTCAATTTCTTAGAGCTTACTGATGTGTAGAGGAAACGAAATGCACCTGAAAATTTTTATCTCAAGTTTTATGAACAGTATGTTTCGTGGGGGGCGTTCACGTTCCACTGAATGCTTTGGCACACATGAGTGTCACACAAGTTTTGCACAGATAAAGATAGAAAATGGAAATGATTTAGAATTTATTTTATTTTCACCTACGCCAGAGCAATGGCCTGCTGTCAGAGTCGGACACCTTTCTCAGAAACTTCTTGAGGCTGAAGCAGCCTCTCAGGAACATTTTTCACGCTTCGTAAAGAGGTTTTTACTTTTATATGCATATTTTATTTTAAATGGGCAAGAAGAGCATGCATTTAGAGGGTAAAATGGGACATTTTGATACATTCTTATGTTGCAGAATGGTCAAATCAGACTAATTTAATATATCCGTCGCCTTGCCTACTTACTCCTTTGTTGGGAGACCATGTAAAATCCATACTTTCATCAACTCTGAAGCTTACACTATTAATCACAGTTCCCACTTCATACAGACGATCCCCAGAGCTTACTCCTGTTCCCCGACCTGTGCTCTGTCTAACCAACACCCTCCTCTCTCCATTCACCACAGTCCCCAGCTCTGGGAA